GGGGGGGGGGGGGGGGGGGGGGGGGGGGGAGTCATGACTTGAGAAGGCACCTGCGATGGAACAGTTGTTCCTCGAGACGTACATAGCAAGCGACATCTTCGCTGCCAATTGGCGCCCCGCATCCTGCACAATTTGTCTGCTCATCAATCTGAACACGTGAATGGGCAGGCGATCGTGCCGCATCAGAAAGTATGCGCAGTGCCCGTGATGCAACCTGAAAAAAACAGGAACTGTGGTTGGAATGCAAGGAAGGACTATATAATACGCCGGAATGAGGTTGCCATCCCGATAACTGGTGGATTTCGAGTGATTCTGGTGCTCCCAGGCCGGAATCAATCCGGTTGTTGAGACAAATGTATGAAATGGTGCTCGGACATGAAAGCTGCTGCCGCTCTTGCTTTTATCGCATTCGGAGACTGCCAGCAAACGCCAGACACTACAATGTTGAAGGTTGCACACAAGCTGCCGGTACACCTGTGCCGACGGAAGCTTACATTTACAGGATTTTTTTTACCTGGAAGTGGCCGGAGTGGTAAGACGGACAGCAAACATATGCTGAGGAAGTTTTCAATCCCTTTCTGTCTTGAGAGTCAATTTTCGACAATCTCTCGTATTTGGAATCAATTTTCTAAATCCTCCCGTGAGCGCAGTTTCTGGATTCTTCCGGTGTTCTTCGTTTTCCGAAATCCCTCACGCGGTAACTGCTTTGTTGGTGCTTTAGCAACTCATTACAAATGGTCCCACTCAAATGTACAAATTAAAAGCACACGATTTTCTCCAGTGCCAGGGAGACCTGTACGGTTAAGATCAGTAGCCGAATCGCGAAGGAACAGGTCCCCATGCTATCAATGGCTCTTGGACCAATAATGCACGTGGCACTTAGCACCGCATCATTCCAACTCTCCTGCCAGCCCGGCAATTCAGTTGGTGGACAGAGGTCAATGTCCATTTTCGAGGGCAGTACTGTTGCGTTCGCGATTCTTTGAAATATGTGCAGAACTAGTTTTATTATCAGAAGAAATACCGCTCTCCGAAACAGCTGACAACGGGTGCGGTTTGCGGTCGACAGCAGAGCACCTTCGGCAAAAGACAATACGGATGAAAGCGACCAGTCCTCCGGAAGACCCGCCAACAACTCCGTGTCATCCGGGATAAATCCTAGTCTATTCAGCAGAGCAGTGATGCGTGGTTTCAGTTCGACTTCAGACCTGTAATAATCGAGTTAGCAACAAATTGGACTGGAAAATTACAAAGACGAGATTTCTAAAAACAATGCAAGGAGATGTGTGCCAGTATTCGGACAGCAGTTGGGAAGATCCCGCACTGGAAAACCCGATGGCTAAGGACTAACCAGTGTGAGGATGGGACTTGGAAGAGTCATTTTCGGTTTAAGGGGAGTCTACGGCTCGATCTATCAAATCGTTTTTGCAAACTTGTCTCACTCTTTGTTTTAAGTTTCTGACTCCAGCCGTCCCACATTTTGTTTTCTTTGAACCGACCACTTGTTTTAAGATTACGATTCGGCCGAAGGGATCGCGTACCTGACATTTTTCAAATAATGTCTGAGGAGGATGGAATGCAGGCGATGCTCTGGTGTGTCCATATGACTGCAGAGCAATTCGGCAGCGTCATAATCGCGATGCTCCATGAGCAGCTTCTCCAGATGCTCCACTGGATTCTTCCCCTGCAACATTTTATCTGAAATATCACTTGCCGAATCAATCGCAAACTGAGGAATATTCATTTGAAGGGAGCAGAATGGGCGAGAAAAAATAAACTCTAAAATTGGAAACTTTCACTTGTGAGATTCAGCGAGTTCGCGAAGTGACCCCAGCAACAACATTCTGCTTAAAGCAACACTTTTAGTTGGCACTATCGATGACTTCCTCTTGCGGTGAATACACTTGAAAAGTGTGCTGAAGAATCGCCAGACGGTTCAATCCGTGCTGTTCGCCTACCATGCCAACTATCTCCACTGGGATGCAAAACCCCTCCAAGGACGGTCTAAATAATTGCTTTCTTGTTCGTTGGCACCACTGTCGCCTGAGACAACGAAATATGAGGAAAGCATATACCCTCTCAGCAGCCTCAAGCAATGTTAGTTCCACGGAAAATTGTCGATATCGTTTAAGGATTGCATATGTGTCCCGAAAATTAAGTTTATTTGGCTGGAGCAAGAATGTACGTAATTTCGCCCTATAATTCGCCGCATTCGCCCCCGTCTTCTCATCACCCATCGAAGTTGTGATTTTTTCGAAATACAGCGAGAATAACATTGTGTGAAATTCGACATCCTGAAAATACTGGAGGTACTCGACATGTGAAATTAACCCAGATTTTGCAGGTTATTGCAGCAGAGCATTGCCTTCTCTTTCAGATGCATTTTCACCAAAAGAAATTGTGTCAGAATACATATCTGCATGTGCCTTTAGCGCTAGCTGTTAGTTAATCGCCTTTCCTCGCATAAATGATTCATGCAAATGTGACAAAAACATTCTTGCATAAATGATTTATGTGGGCAAAGCAATTCATTTGTAACCGTTTGCCATGAGGGGCACGGCTGCGCATCGAGGATGCGATTCGTGCGAGGTTGGTTGCTTCCCAAATAATCGAATTTAACTGTGATGGCTGAGGCTGGTGGAAACGGGCGACAAGCGGGTAGCGGAGGAGCGATTCGCAAAAAGAGCGTGTTCGCTACGGGGTCGACGAGGCAATAAGTATGTAAGTGTCGCAAAGACTTCGACTCTCCTATCCTGGAGTAGGCAAAATTTCGCGAAAATTCAGTAAACTATCAAAGTGTATCAGGATTCATGAAACCCTTCTAGATCTAGGGTCCCACCTTATTTTCTATTTATAAGGGCCTGTAGTTGATGGGGCTCTTTTATCACATCTTTCTTTACATGGCTCTGTTGTTATTGTTGTTCTTTGTTTTCACCGGGAAGCGATGGGATATTTCCTCCCACTGCTATCGTTTTTATTAATATTTGCATAGCACCAGGACGGTAATGCGGCATCCGCTCACTTCTCGCTGTCATTTTTATTTTCGTTTTATTATAAAGGCTGCGAGGGGTAGAATAAGCTTAATTTATTTGTCGACGTGTTCATTTTCGCTTGCGTTCTTCTCCACTGGCGTAAATGAAAGCTTAATAATTCAAATTTAAGGCTCAGTTACTGAAGTCGGCGGCACTAGCTGCTGGAGGACGGTCGGGATCGATTGGATATTTGGTGGACCTATTGGGACCAGTAATGTTTGTACTGATACTGGTCGCTTTTAATATTGCCAACAAACCTGGAACTGCAATTCGATTGCAACAGAAGAACTGGCAGAAAAGAAACAAAGGTGAGATCCTACACTCCAAGGATCAAGACGTAAAAAATTTGGATTTCTTCCGTTTATTTGTTGGGAAATTAGTCGTCTCGAACTGAATTTTGAAGTCCCGACTGAATACTTTCCCATCAACAACAGCCAGAACAGGCGGAATGTGAAGCTGGCAAAAATGAATAAGATAAAAAATGAGACAAGCTCGCAAACATTCAACAGACGGCAA